ACCTCTCTAGGCAATTTATTCCAGTGCTTAACCACCCTGACAGCTAGGAAGTTTTTCCTAACGTCAAACCTCCCTTGCTGCAATTTAAGCGAAGCCCATTGCTTCTTGTCCGATCCTCAGAGGTTAAGAAAAAAAAATTTTCTTCCTCCTCCTTGTAACAACCTTTTACGTACTTGAAAACTGTTATCATGTCCCGTCTCAGTCTTCTCTTTTCCACACCAAACAAACCCAATTTTTTCAATCTTCCCACATACCTCATGTTTCCTAGACCTTTAATCATTTTTGTTGGCCTTCTCTGGACTCTCTCCAATTTTTCCACAACCTTCCTGAAATGTGGCACCCAGAACTGGCCCAGAATAGGCCCTTCCCAACCAGCTATCTAGACTGAAAGCATCTTGTCTAGTGGGCATGACCCATGTGTAACTACAATTGAAGTACAGATACATAGTCAGGATTTATAACTTCAGATACAAAACTGATACAGGCATATAAATAGGATAATCATATCAGCAAATCATAACTTTTCCAATTACACTTTACAGAACCCATCTTGCATAAAATACATCATAATTATGCTATAATTATATCATAATAATACTATTATGATAAATATGAGGTGCAGTGTCACAACTCTCTCCTTTCTTTTTCCTGGTTAATAAATCCTTAGTTTGTTTACTATGGGATTAGCTACAAGGATTGTCTTTGGTGTGAGATCTGAGGTACAAATTGACCTGGGGTAAATGACCAGTCTCCAGGACTGGAAGCAACCTGAATATTTTGTGATTTTTGGAGTAAAGCAACCATTTATCACAGAGTTAAGCTTGCCTTGATGGCACGATAGACTGGAGTGCCCAAGGGGACTTTCTGTGACTCCATGGTAAGACTGTTTTAGTGCTTCTGGAGTTCACATTTGTTACTGGTTTGGTGGAATCTCATTATAGACCATACCACCAGTTTGGAGTCCCTGACACTCATGGTCGTGAACCACTGCAGACAGCGTGACAAATGCTATGTGCAGAAATGGAACAATCTCCGAATCCAAAGGTCCCTGACTGAAATAACTAGGACTCCTCTCAGAGCTATTGCTGCTGGCTCTTTGCAGAGTTAGACAGGCATCCATTCACACTTTTGAGGTTTCCTTCGCAGTCATAAGGACTAGAAATATAATTCTTTAAAAAATGAAATCAGAGATTCTGGAAACAATTCTGCAGCAGGGGGTGAATTCTACTGCAAATTCTATGATTGCTGAATACTCAGGGCCCTGGGAAGAGTGGTCTCACATAGGGGAACTTGCAGGAGGTATCTGTCAGGAGGTTTTCATGGTGACAGATATCTTTTTGAATTTTCAATTTTGATATGGAAAAGAAAAGATTTCAACAGGCTTCTCGGGGTTAAATAACCATAAGAAAGAAAAATGGGTTTCTGCCAACAGCAAAGTTGGTACTGACACATGAAGTCTAGCCTGAAACCTTCCTTTTTAAATAGTTTAATTCTGACAGGAGTTGGAGATAAAGCTGAATTTCATTAACATCTGCGAGAGGTTTTCAGTATTTAGACTACATGGACCTTCCTTAGTCAGTCATCTAAAACTGCTCTTCTACATTTACACCTTTCATATTCTGATATATCTTCTGTCCTCAGATGCGATCAGTATTGCTGTATAAGCCTCCAGGAAAGATAAGGGAACGTTCAGTAAAAGTAACTGGAATTCTATTAATTCTTTCCTGTGATACTTGTATCCAATTCTAACAAGCAAATAACTCTAAAGAAACCTTTTTCAAACAATTCCAGCTACAGCGTATTGATCAAAGTCCTGATAAGAAAGACAAATATTATGACTCCTCCAATTACCAATAGAGGAAGGTTGGGCATTCAATATGTAGGAGAAAAATGGAATAGCTTTCTATACTTTCAGCAAAGATAAATGTAAATACAAGTTAAGCCAGTAAAACAGAGTTCACAACACAACTCTCCTTAGCAAGTAATCAGATAAGGGTAAAAACTTTCTTCAGCTAAATATAAGACAGAGAGAGACAGAGAGAGGTGGGGGTGGAAGCTCTTTGGTATAACTTGCCTGATCCAATCTTCATTTTCAGGGCTAGAAAGTGAATTTTGTTATCAGGTAACTTTGTCCCAAGCCAGTGAGTGGGAAGCGCTGTTCTACTCCGTTCTTCATTTTCAGGGCAGGCACTGTACAAACTTGTTTCTTTCAATGGGTTATTGCACATTTCCTTATTACACGCACTCTCCTAAGCAGAGTGGAATTTGCATTCCCAGCCCACTCATTTACCTTTGTCAAACAAACGTCTTCTTCTTTTACATGGTACAGTCCTACACAACAGAGTTCCCAGCAACGACACTACAGAGCAGGCAGAAGGAAATAATTTGTGACTCAATGGAAACACCCACAGAGGAGGCAGCTTCCTTCTCTTTTATTCTCCTCCCCACGTGGGGCTCAGTTCTCACCAATGCTAGCATTCCTTCTTTCCTTCCCCTTCACGAGCATGGCCCTAGACAAGTTAGACACGTTTTGTGATTTTAAAAAGCAGGTCACGGGCCGGTGGCATTTAATTTTCATTTACAATCAGTACCCTGGAAACTAACCCATATTCTCAAAATGGTGAGCAGAAGCCATGTGACACCCTTACCTTTGTAACACCATGCAACATTTTTGAGATTTTCAGTGTACAAGTTGGATATTTGGCTTTACTAAGTACTCTTCACACCAGGCTTTGCAATTTCTGTTTATTCTTGCAGAAGTAACTTATTCTTATATTAAAGAAATCCTGCATCTTGGCAGGGGGTTAGACTTGATGACCCTTGCGGTCCCTGCTAGTCCTATGGTTTTAGGATTCCCTAAATCAGAGACAGCACCTCCCATTGTAAGCCTGTGTGTTCAGTGGTCTATAACATTCTCAGATAAGCCTTTTGGGGCTGAATTTTCTCATGCATGTTTTCAGCCATGACATATTACTTATTAGAAAGTCTGAAGAAAATATGCGTTTGGCTGTAGACAGTTACAATACAGCATTAGTCTCCCCAAAGTCCATTGACTTAAACTACACTGTAACAATGGGCTTTTCTTCAATGCAAAGTTAACTTGAGTTACACCTGGAGTATTGCCCCTAATTCAAATCCAATCTACACACAAACCCCTTACCTTGAGCATGGTGGTGCTTTTAACTCAAGTAGGCTGGCCAGTCAGGAGTTACAGACTAAGGGTGAAATGCTGCTGAAACTCGAGTTGCTAATGTGACCACTTTGCAGTGTAGATAGAGGCCATAGCCACTCAAGTGCCAAAAGTGGGCAGCATGGCTCAGTGCATCTGATCCTGTGTTCCTGGAAAGGGGCTGGGAGAATCAACTGACATCTCAAGAGAAAAGGTTTATAACTTTCACTCTCCCTCAAGGTAACAGACTAATTTCCTAGGACCAATAGTGAGGGGTGAATTTCAGCTAAGGGCCTTCACCCAATGTTCACAGCTAGGAACCATAAGCGAAAATACTCCAATTGATCTTGACAGCTGGGATGGCTGCAACCATGACCATGCTGGCCTTCAGTAATGCCCACAATGGCCCACAGCAGCATAACAGTGGCCTGAGGCACGTACAGCAGCACAGCCATGATGGCACACAGCACCCGCAATGGCCCGCAGCAGGCGAGGCAAGTGCCAGACCACAGTGCCTAGAAATGAAAAGCGTGGCGAGATCATGCAGTCCACCTCCCTGCCCAGCTGCCAGGACATGGGCAGCAGGGAACACCAGGAGGGCCGGGGGCATGGAGGTGAAGGTGTGGGAGATACCCCAGGGGCTGGAGTGGACAGGCCACTGCGCCAGGGGGCTGGCAACTACAGCCATGCTCAAGGGGACTGGCAGTGCCAGGAACTGAGGGAGAGGCAGGAGAACACTGGGCAGAGAGGCTGCTGGGTGAGGGCTGGCAGTGCTGGGGGGAGGGTTTGGTGGAGGTGGGGGAAGGGGCAGTGTAGGGGAGGTTAGTGGTGAGGGAGGCCTTGTTGGAGGGGGCAGGGAGAGGTGGAGAGTGGCGATGGGGGCGAGGTTGTTGGGGGGGCGGGGAGAGGGGAAGTGCGGGGGGGTGTTGGGGGAGGGGCAGCGCGGGGGGTGTTGGGGAGGCAGGGGAGGGGCGGCGCAGGGGGTAGCGGGGGTGTTGGGGAGAGGCGGCGCGGGGGGAGCGTAGGGGGGCGGCGCGGGGGGTAGCGGGGGTGTTGGGGGAGGGGCGGCACGGGGGGAGTTTTGGGGGCGGCGCGGGGCGGGATAGCGGGGGGTGTTGGGGGGAGGGGGGCGCGGGGGAGTGTTGGGGGGCGCCGTGGGGGTGTTGGGGGAGGATGTTGGGGGAGGGGGGCGCGGGGGGTGTTGGGGGAGGGGCGGCGCGGGGGGGTGCTGGGGGAGGATGTTGGGGGAGGGGGGCGCGGGGGGTGTTGCGGGAGGGGGGCGCGGGGCGGGGTAGCGGGGGGTGTTGGGGGAGGGGCGGCGCGGGGGGAGTTTTGGGGGGGGCGGGGCGGGATAGCGGGGGTGTTGGGGGAGGGGGGGCGGGGGGAGTTTTGGGGGGGGGGGGCGGGATAGCGGGGGTGTTGGGGGAGGGGGCGGGGGGAGTGTTGGGGGGCGCCGTGGGGATGTTGGGGGAGGATGTTGGGGGAGGGGGGGGGGGGGTGTTGGGGGAGGGGGGGGGGGGGGGGGGGTGTTGGGGGAGGGGGGGGGGGGGTGTTGGGGGAGGGGGCGCGGGGGGTGTTGCGGGAGGGCGCGGGGCGGGGTAGCGGGGGTGTTGGGGGAGGGGCGGCGCGGGGGGAGTTTTGGGGGCGGGGCGGGTAGCGGGGGTGTTGGGGGAGGGGGGGGGGGAGTGTTGGGGGAGGGGGGGGGGGGTGTTGCGGGAAGGGGGCGGGGGGGGGTAGGGGGGTGTTGGGGGAGGGGGGGGGGGGTGGCGGGGGGCGGGGGGTGTTGGGGGAGGGGCGGCGCGGGGGGGTGTCGGCGGGGACGAGGCGGACTCAGAGCAGCCGAGTCATCGATGTCAGCAGGCGACAGCGGCGAGCGCCGAATCCTCGAGTCCGCCCGGAAAAGGGGCCAGGCCGGGCCGGGCCAATCAGGGCCGGGGGCCGGCGGGGTTGTGGAGGGGGGAGTTTGGACTTGGGAGGTAAGTGGGGGTCAGGGTAAGTTGTGGGGAGGGCGTTGGGAGGGGGTAGGGTAGGTTGTGGGGGATTGGAGGAGGTGGGGTAGGTGGGGGTAGGGTAAGTTGTGGGGAGGGCGTTGGGAGGGGGTAGGGTAGGTTGTGGGGGATTGGAGGAGGTGGGGTAGGTGGGGGTCAGGGTAAGTTGTGGGGAGGGCTTTGGGAGGGGGTAGGGTAGGTTGTGGGGGATTGGAGGAGGTGGGGTAGGTGGGGGTAGGGTAGTTGTGGGGAGGGCTTTGGGAGGGGGTAGGGTAGGTTGTGGGGGATTGGAGGAGGTGGGGTAGGTGGGGGTCAGGGTAGTTGTGGGGAGGGCTTTGGGAGGGGGTGGGGTAGGTTGTGGGGGATTGGAGGAGGTGGGGTAGGTGGGGGTCAGGGTAGTTGTGGGGAGGGTGTTGGGAGGGGGTAGGGTAGGTTGTGGGGGATGGAGGAGGTGGGGTAGGTGGGGGTAGGGTAAGTTGTGGGGAGGGCATGGGAGGGGTAGGGTTTGTTGTGGGGGATTGGAAGAGGTGGGGCAGGTGGGGGTAGGGTGTTGTGGGGAGGGCGTTGGGAGGGGGTGGGGTAGGTTGTGGGGGATTGGAGGAGGTGGGGTAGGTGGGGGTCAGGGTAAGTTGTGGGGAGGGCGTTGGGAGGGGGTGGGTAGGTTGTGGGGGATTGGAGGAGGTGGGGTGGGTGGGGGGCAGGGTAGTTGTGAGGGGGATTGGAGGAGGTGGGGGTCAGGGTAAGTTGTGGGGAGGGCGTTGGGAGGGGGTAGGGTAGGTGTGGGGGATTGGAGGAGGTGGGGTAGGTGGGGGTCAGGGTAAGTTGTGGGGAGGGCTTTGGGAGGGGGTAGGGTAGGTTGTGGGGGATTGGAGGAGGTGGGGTAGGTGGGGGTAGGGTAAGTTGTGGGGAGGGTTGGGAGGGGGTAGGGTAGGTTGTGGGGGATTGGAGGAGGTGGGGTAGGTGGGGGTCAGGGTAGTTGTGGGGAGGGCTTTGGGAGGGGGTGGGGTAGGTTGTGGGGGATTGGAGGAGGTGGGGTGGGTGGGGGTAGGGTGTTGGGGGAGGGTGTTGGGAGGGGGTAGGGTAGGTTGTGGGGGATTGGAGGAGGTGGGGTAGGTGGGGGTCAGGGTAGTTGGGGGAGGGCGTTGGGAGGGGGTAGGGTAGGTTGTGGGGGATTGGAGGAGGTGGGGTAGGTGGGGGTCAGGGTAGTTGTGGGGAGGGCATTGGGAGGGGGTAGGGTAGGTTGTGGGGGATTGGAGGAGGTGGGGTAAGTGGGGGTAGGGTAAGTTGTGGGGAGGGCATTGGGAGGGGGTAGGGTAGGTTGTGGGGGATTGGAGGAGGTGGGGTAGGTGGGGGTAGGGTGTTGTGGGGAGGGCATTGGGAGGGGTAGGGTTTGTTGTGGGGGATTGGAAGAGGTGGGGCAGGTGGGGGTCAGGGTAAGTTGTGGGGAGGGCGTTGGGAGGGGGTGGGGTAGGTTGTGGGGGATTGGAGGAGGTGGGGTAGGTGGGGGTCAGGGTGTTGTGGGGAGGGCGTTGGGAGGGGGTAGGGTAGGTTGTGGGGGATTGGAGGAGGTGGGGTAGGTGGGGGGCAGGGTAAGTTGTGAGGGGGATTGGAGGAGGTGGGGGTCAGGGTAAGTTGTGGGGAGGGCGTTGGGAGGGGGTAGGGTAGGTTGTGGGGGATTGGAGGAGGTGGGGTAAGTGGGGGTCAGGGTAGGTTGTGGGGAGGGCATTGGGAGGGGGTAGGGTGGGTTGTGGGGGATTGGAGGAGGTGGGGTAGGTGGGGGTCAGGGTAAGTTGTGGGGAGGGCTTTGGGAGGGGGTAGGGTAGGTTGTGGGGGATTGGAGGAGGTGGGGTAGGTGGGGGTCAGGGTAAGTTGTGGGGAGGGCTTTGGGAGGGGGTAGGGTAGGTTGTGGGGGATTGGAGGAGGTGGGGTAGGTGGGGGTCAGGGTAAGTTGTGGGGAGGGCTTTGGGAGGGGGTAGGGTAGGTTGTGGGGGATTGGAGGAGGTGGGGTAGGTGGGGGTAGGGTAAGTTGTGGGGAGGGCTTTGGGAGGGGGTGGGGTAGGTTGTGGGGGATTGGAGGAGGGGGGTAGGTGGGGGTAGGGTAAGTTGTGGGGAGGGTGTTGGGAGGGGGTAGGGTAGGTTGTGGGGGATTGGAGGAGGTGGGGTAGGTGGGGGTAGGGTAAGTTGTGGGGAGGGATTGGGAGGGGTAGGGTTTGTTGTGGGGGATTGGAAGAGGTGGGGAGGTGGGGGTAGGGTAAGTTGTGGGGAGGGCGTTGGGAGGGGGTGGGGTAGGTTGTGGGGGATTGGAGGAGGTGGGGGTAGGTGGGGGTGGGTAAGTTGGGGGAGGGCGTTGGGAGGGGGTAGGGGTAGGTTGTGGGGGATTGGAGGAGGTGGGGTAGGTGGGGGGAGGGTAAGTTGGAGGGGGATTGGAGGAGGTGGGGGTCAGGGTAAGTTGTGGGGAGGGCGTTGGGAGGGGGTAGGGTAGGTTGTGGGGGATTGGAGGAGGTGGGGTAGGTGGGGGTCAGGGTAAGTTGTGGGGAGGGCTTTGGGAGGGGGTAGGGTAGGTTGTGGGGGATTGGAGGAGGTGGGGTAGGTGGGGGTCAGGGTAAGTTGTGGGGAGGGCGTTGGGAGGGGGTGGGGTAGGTTGTGGGGGATTGGAGGAGGTGGGGTAGGTGGGGGTCAGGGTAAGTTGTGGGGAGGGCTTTGGGAGGGGGTGGGGTAGGTTGTGGGGGATTGGAGGAGGTGGGGTAGGTGGGGGTCAGGGTAAGTTGTGGGGAGGGTGTTGGGAGGGGGGTAGGGTAGGTTGTGGGGGATTGGAGGAGGTGGGGTAGGTGGGGGTCAGGGTAAGTTGTGGGGAGGGCGTTGGGAGGGGGTAGGGTAGGTTGTGGGGGATTGGAGGAGGTGGGGTAGGTGGGGGTCAGGGTAAGTTGTGGGGAGGGCATTGGGAGGGGGTAGGGTAGGTTGTGGGGGATTGGAGGAGGTGGGGTAAGTGGGGGTCAGGGTAAGTTGTGGGGAGGGCATTGGGAGGGGGTAGGGTAGGTTGTGGGGGATTGGAGGAGGTGGGGTAGGTGGGGGTCAGGGTAAGTTGTGGGGAGGGATTGGGAGGGGTAGGGTTTGTTGTGGGGGATTGGAAGAGGGGGGAGGTGGGGGTAGGGTAAGTTGTGGGGAGGGCGTTGGGAGGGGGTGGGGTAGGTTGTGGGGGATTGGAGGAGGTGGGGTAGGTGGGGGTCAGGGTAAGTTGTGGGGAGGGCGTTGGGAGGGGGTAGGGTAGGTTGTGGGGGATTGGAGGAGGTGGGGTAGGTGGGGGGCAGGGTAAGTTGTGAGGGGGATTGGAGGAGGTGGGGGTCAGGGTAAGTTGTGGGGAGGGCGTTGGGAGGGGGTAGGGTAGGTTGTGGGGGATTGGAGGAGGTGGGGTAAGTGGGGGTCAGGGTAAGTTGTGGGGAGGGCATTGGGAGGGGGTAGGGTAGGTTGTGGGGGATTGGAGGAGGTGGGGTAGGTGGGGGTAGGGTAAGTTGTGGGGAGGGCTTGGGAGGGGGTAGGGTAGGTTGGGGGGATTGGAGGAGGTGGGGTAGGTGGGGGTAGGGTAAGTTGGGGGAGGGTTGGGAGGGGGTAGGGTAGGTTGGGGGGATTGGAGGAGGTGGGGTAGGTGGGGGTCAGGGTAAGTGTGGGGAGGGCTTTGGGAGGGGGTAGGGTAGGTTGTGGGGGATTGGAGGAGGTGGGGTAGGTGGGGGTAGGGTAAGTTGGGGGAGGGTTGGGAGGGGGTGGGGTAGGTTGTGGGGGATTGGAGGAGGGGGGAGGTGGGGGTAGGGTAAGTTGTGGGGAGGGGTTGGGAGGGGGGGGGTAGGTTGTGGGGGATTGGAGGAGGTGGGGTAGGTGGGGGTCAGGGTAAGTTGTGGGGAGGGCGTTGGGAGGGGGTAGGGTAGGTTGTGGGGGATTGGAGGAGGTGGGGTAAGTGGGGGTCAGGGTAAGTTGTGGGGAGGGCATTGGGAGGGGGTAGGGTAGGTTGTGGGGGATTGGAGGAGGTGGGGTAGGTGGGGGTCAGGGTAAGTTGTGGGGAGGGCTTTGGGAGGGGGTAGGGTAGGTTGTGGGGGATTGGAGGAGGTGGGGTAGGTGGGGGTCAGGGTAAGTTGTGGGGAGGGCATTGAGAGGGGGTAGGGTAGGTTGTGGGGGATTGGAGGAAGTAGGTTTGGGGTAACACATTCATCCCCTCATTTACAAAGTAAAGTCAAGGGCACATGTGCATGAGACCTGAAAGAGCAAGTGGGCAGGAGGAACCTCAGCATTTCCCAGGCCAGCTGTGTGCCTGGGGGCTGGGCCTCACAAGCCATCTTCGTAACACTCCAGCCCTGGGCAGTAGAGAGTGAAAGTTACCTCCATCGGAGGACTCTTTTTGCCCAGTGTGACATGAATTTGGAGGATCTCAAATCATTTCATAGCACGGCAAGCAGCCATGTCACAACTGAGTTTAAGTGGGTGCCCCCTTCAGTCAAGAGGCCAAAGATCACAGAGTCTGAACTGTTACCTCTGACAGAATGTCCTGGGGAGCCCTGTGGCCCATTGGCAGGGGGCAGATGAAGCTTTGGATGGAGAGGGCTGCAGTAGCTTTTGGTCAATTCACTTTAAAGAGAGAGTGAGCCCCAAACACACTGTAAACCTTTTGTGAATTTTCTTAATCCAGTCCCTAAGGCTGTTGGTAAGACTCTGCCCCTGGCAATATACCCTCTGGCTGGTGATAGTGTTGAGAGTTTGGGGAGTAACTGAGCTCTTACATCTGTGTGGTGTGAATAGAAAAGTTACAAGTTCTGTTCCTGGTGCAAAGGCTACTTCCGTCTTGCAGCATATTGTTTCCTGTGGCATCATTTGGCATTGGTTAGAAAGGCCAGGGAGTAGAAACAGTGTTCCATGTGCCAATGCTGAAGAAAAGTAAATAGTTCAGGATTTTAACATCTTTTATTATATGCCAGTATGACTGGCAAATATGGGCAGAAAGAAAAGGAGTACTTGTGGCACCTTAGAGACTAACCAATTTATTTGAGCATAAGCTTTCGTGAGCTACAGCTCACTGTGTATAAAAGATCTTCTACACTTTCCACAGTATGCATCCGATGAAGTGAGCTGTAGCTCACAAAAGCTTATGCTCAAATAAATTGGTTAGTCTCTAAGGTGCCACAAGTACTCCTTTTATTTTTGCGAATACAGACTAACATGGCTGTTACTCTGAAATATGGGCAGAGTTGCTCAGTACACAGAAGGGCTTAGGGCAGTGGTTCTCAACCAGGGGTATGCAGAGATCTTCCACAGGTTACATCAACTCATTTAGGTATTTGCCTCGTTTTACAACAGGCTACATAAAAAGGACTACTGAAGTCAGTACAAACTAAAATTTCATAGAGACAGTGACTTGTTTTATACTGCTCTATATTATTAGACATTGAAATGTAAGTACAATATTTATATTACATTTGATTATTTTATAATTATAGGGTAAAAATTAGAAATTAAGCAATTTTTCAGTAATAGTGTGCAGTGACACTTCTGTATTTTTGCGTCTGATTTTGTAAGCAAGTAGTTTTTAAGAGAGGTGAAACTTGGGGTACTCAAGACAAATCAGACTCCTGAAACGGGTAGAGTAGTCGAAAAGTTGAGTACCACTAGCTTAGGATAACTAGTATTTATCACTTTGCCCTAATATTTCCTGCCTCTTTCTTACCTGGCTGTGGGTTTTCTCTCACTGAGGATGGTGTCCCAAGAGGTGGAGAAGGGTTCAGTGGGATGCTTTTATTTAGCACTGTCATAAATATAAAGGGAAGGGTAAACCCCTTTAAAATCCCTCCTGGCCAGAGGAAAAATCCTCTTACCTGTAAGAAGCTAAAGGTAACCTCGCTGGCACCTGACCAAAATGACCAATGAGGAGACAAAATACTTTCAAAAGCTGGGAGGAGGGAGAAAAACAAAGGGTCTGTGTCTGTCTGTATGCTGCTTTTGCCGGGGACAGAACAGGAATGAAGTCTTAGAATTTAGTAAGTAATCTAGCTAGGTATGTGTTAGATTATGATTTCTTTAAATGGCTGAGAAAAGAGCTGTGCTGAATAGAATGACTATTCCTGTCCGTGTGTCTTTTTTGTAACTTAAGGTTTTGCCTAGAGGGATTCTCTATGTTTTGAATCTAATTACCCTGTAAGGTATCTACCATCCTGATTTTACAGAGATGATTCCTTTACTTCTATTAAAAGTCGTCTTGTAAGAAAACTGAATGCTTTTTCATTCTTCTAAGATCCAAGGGTTTGGGTCTGTGGTCACCTATGCAAATTGGTGAGGATTTTTACCAAACCTTCCCCAGGAAGTGGGGTGCAAGGGTTAGGAGGATTTTGGGGGGAGAGATGTGTCCAAACTACGTTTCCCAGTAAACCCAGATAAAGTTTGGTGGTGGCAGTGAAAATCCAAGGGTAAAATAATTTTGTACCTTGGGGAAGTTTTAACCTGAGCTGGTAAAAGTAAGCTTAGGAGGTTTTCATGCAGGTCTCCACATCTGTACCCTAGAGTTCAGAGTGGGGAAGGGACCTTGACAAGCACACAGACCACATGCTTGGCCTTTTGCAATCTCAGTAGACAAGACAGTATTATTCAGATAAAAATGACCAGAAGATGGATTGAACCCCAAACTGTACCAACTATTTTATTGATTGTAATAATAATACCTAGCTCTTATATAACGCTTTTTTCCAGTGGATGTCAATGTGCTTTCCAAAGAATGTGCGTACCATTTCCCCCATTTTACAGATGGGGAAACAGAGGCACTGAGAACTGTACTACCACTCTTTTATTTGGCTAGTACAGTGGCATAATGTATGCAACGTTGTATTTTGTATCTGAAAGAGTCCTGGGAAGTAGTGATAATGTTCATAACAAATACCCTAGAACATCAGTGTTAAGCCCTATGTGCATTCTGAGCTAAAACTTGATAAATATGCTTGTTTGCCCTAATATAATTTCTTGTCTCACTGGTATGTTCACTTTCCCCAGGAAGGGGATAGGATTAATCCTAACTAAAGGTATATGCGGAACTCCTACAGGTACCTGTGAAGTTGAAATCTTATTTGGAATCTTTTATATAAAGATCAAAATAATTTGTGCTGTTGGGAACTTATTTTTCTTTCTTCAGTATGAGATATGGATTGATTTGATAGAAGGTATTCACAAATGTGCGTATAGATAAATATTTTGCTTGAATGTGTGCATCTAATTGCAGTTTATTCCTTCTGCAGCTTTCTAAACGTAGTGTAACATTTCAATGGCTACCCAGATGACTGATGGTCATCGACGGTTCCTGCAGGTGCTGATGTCTCATGGAATAATGGAAGGGTCGGTGGCTAGAACATTACACAGGGACTGCTGTGAAATCCATAAAGGTTAGTCTCATTTCCTTAGAAAAATAGCAGTATAGTGAATGAGAGAACAGAGTAAAATTGGGCTTTCTATTGCACCCTTCATATTCTGGGTATCCCAAAGTGCTTTCCGGAGCTACCAGTTAGGTAACATGTTGACTTTGTAGGCAAATTGTGTGCTCAGCAGTAGTACACACCTAGCCTTACCAAGACCTCTTTTACTCAGGAAAACATTGGTCAGATCATTGAGGTTATTACTGACACTGACCCATTTAAAACTGGGATCTTTCTCGTTTTCCTGGTCAGAAGCCAGTGAGATGGGCAGAGGGGATCTTGTTTTAATGCTCTAATCCAGGACTTTAGAACTCTACATGAGCAGCAGAGGTTCACTTGCACAGATCTGATGGCAGGAGTGGGGCCTAATTATACAAGCAGAAACAGCAAAACTGACTATAAATACACAGTAACAGCTGAATGAAAAGGAGATTTTCTTTAATTTCTTTGAACTACCGTAGTCAGGGTGTTATGTAGGCAGAAACATTTCAGAGAAGTGTGCTTTTTAAATGGGGAATTTAGTAGGTCCTTTCCACATGAAGTAACATGTCACTAGTTCCAGATTGCAGTGTTAAATCTGACTAACAGATGTGCATCAGCCTCAGTTTACAAACAGCTGCATTCCTGGCTAGCATATACCCTGTAGAAAGTTACATTAAAATAATGTTAATTGTGTAAACAGCCCAAATAAAAACAAAGAAATTTAGGGTTAAACCAATTCAAACCTCACCAAAAACATGTAAAAGCTTTTACAAAAATAACAAGGAGTCCGGTGGCACCTTAAAGACTAACAGATTTATTTTGGCATAAGCTTTTGTGGGTAAATAACCACTTCTTCAGATGGGTGGGTAAAACACCACTTCTTCTGTTAGTCTTTAAGGTGCCACCGGACTCCTTGTTGTTTTTGTGGATACAGACTAACACGGCTACCCCCTGATACTTTTACAAAAATAGTGTCTTTAGATCTGCATATTTAAAACTTTATTCATATTTGCAATTAACAGTTTTTAAGTAATGCCTTTTTGGCAGTGTTAAATTTGCCACTTCATCCTTTATTGGAAGGCTTTTCTTTGGAATTTTATATAACATATTTGCCTGGGGGGAAAAGTATCTCTCAAGGCTAAATCTTTCCACCAGATTTAACTACATATTCACTAGTCCCTTTAGACACGGTAGTGACCTCTGTACATTATAAAACAAGAATTTTGGTTTTGTGCTTTCAGTTTAATTTGAAGTTCTTTTTCAGTCTTCAATGGTATAGGAATGTGTAATCAATTTAGTTTTGATGTTTCAGAACTGCTTACTATCTGTATTATACCTTCACTAATTTTGAAAATGTGATGGACAAACTGAAATTAAGCTGAAATGAGTAACATTTTTAGTTAATTAGTAATTTTTAGCAGTAGGTGATACAATCTGATAAAGTGAAAACTAAACTGCTGCTTGCAAAACAAAAACTGAAAGCGTCAAAGGTCACAAGACCTACATCTTTCACATATTTGCAAACAAGACTAATTAGAAAGTAATTAGTACAAAGATATCTACAGGCTTAGGTCTGTAGATGCTTCTGAACCTGAATAGCTTTACCAACTGATGCTACTCCTCACGTGAGTAAAGAGTTTGTAGGATTGGGCTCTAAGGCAGCTTCTGAAAGTTAAGATAAGACAGTTTTGGGTAGAAAAAAGTTAAGTGACTTGTTTTGTTTAAGAAAAAAGCCTAGTCCTCTGGATCGAAAGGAGTCAGCTGAATTGGTTCAGGCACCTGATAAGGATGCCCCCAGAAGCTTCCACTGGAACTTTACTGGGCATGTCTCACTGGGCGGAGGCCCCAAGGCTGACTCGGGACACAGTGGAGGGATATTATCTTCCACCTGCTGGGGAATCCCCCAGGAGGAGCTGGAACCTGTTGTGGAGGAAAAGAAGGTCTGGCTCTCCCTGCTTTCTATGCTGCTGCTGCAATCCTCACCAGGAAAAGCGGCATAAAGGAAAAAGATGACGATGATGATGGAATCCAGGTAGCTCTAGAATATTAGTTGGCTTAAATCTTGGCTCAAATTAAGTTGGTATGCGGTAGTACAGCATACCAATGCCTCTTAAGGTACTTTCTTGTTTTTCAGAATCTCAGATTTAATGGGAAAAAGTAACTCTCTAGCTGTTATGACTGCAAAGAAAACCTCAACACTGTGAACTGAATACAACCAATGCAGAAATACCTACATAAGTCTGCAGAGAGCCTGGAACGATAGCTCAGAGGGTGAACTGCCCCTTTCATCTTAGTGAGGGGTATGGGTTTGTCTACATGGAGGAGCTATTGTAGAATCAGCTAGGGTTTGAATTTTAAAGCACGCTAAACCCCCCCCCCATGGGGAGTTATTCTGCACTAAGGGTGCTATTTTGTGGTTTAGTTTAATCCACTTCCAAAGTAAAATCTATTCCAGTCTATTTCCCCATGTAGACAAGCCATAACTCAGGTGCCCAATGATAATTTAATTGTCACCATTGTTCCCTATGTGAGAAAGGGGAAGGAGAGATCACAGAACTGCTCAATCTACTGTGAACTACCTTTAATTTTAACACTATTGGTGGGGTGGTGTTTGGGAGATACCACTACTTATTTTTGTTCCTTAATCAGAATGAGCCCAGCAAAGTCAGTGGGCATATTCAAACCCCTCAGAAGGGGAGCCAAGCTAAGGAGTCCAGTGAAGCTCAGAGAGCAGGAACAATCCTATTTTAAACATTTGTGCAATCTCCCATGAGCAATATCTTATTGTGGTGACTAACATGAGTAAAACAAGGGAGAGTACCATTGCTTCCCCTATACCCCTCAAATTCAAAACTGGCTTAATTTTTTTCCTGAAGACACACCAGTCATTGTGCCTTGTTTGATAAAGATATGTATTGTAATTAGCAGAGATGTCCTGAACCAGAGGTCTGGATCAGAGCAACATTGAACATTACAGCAAACTTTACAACTTGGTCCCAGTTCTGGTATTTCCAGTAGAGATAAGAAAGTGTCATTACCACTATACAAAGCACTGGTGAGATTTCATCTGAAATACTGTGTGCAATTCTGGTCTCCTGTGTTCAAGAAAGATGGATTCAAACTAGAACACGTCCAGAGAAGGGCTAATAGGATGATCAGATGAATGGAGAATCTACCTTATGAGAGGAGACTTAAGGAATTTGGCTTGTTTAGCCTAACATAAAGGCTGAGGGGAGATCTGATTGCTCTCTGTAAACACATCAGAGGGATAAATAACTCTTCTCCCTCCCTGGCATTTAAGTTAAGTGCCAATGTTGGCACACATGGATATAAACTGGCCGTCACCATGTTTAGGCTTGAAATTAGATGAAGGTTTCGAACCATCAGTGGAGTGAAGTTCTAGAACAGCCTTCCATAGGGGCAAAAAACCTAACTGGTTTCACAACTGAGCCGCTTAAGTTTATGGAGGGAATGGTGTGAGGTTGCTGACAATGGCAAGTGGCCCACCTGCAACTGATAGTAGCAAGTATCTCCAATGGCTGGAGATGGGACATTAGGTGGGGATGGCTCTGAGTTACTACAGTGAATTCTTTCCTGGGTGTCTGGCTGGTGGGTCTTGCCAACATATTTAGGGTCTAACTGATGGCCATATTTGGGATCGGGAAGGAATTTCCCCCCCCGGTCAGATTGGCAGAAGCCCCGGGGATTTCCCATCTTCCTCTGCAGCATAGGGCATGAGTCACTTGCTGGTTTAAACAAGAGTAAATGGTGGATTCTTCATAACTTGAAGTCTTTAAATCAAGATTGGCTGAGTTACTGAAGTCCTCAAGAGGTTATGGGACTATTAGAGGAGTGGGTGTTTGAGGTTCTGTGGCCTGCAATGTGCAGAAGGTCACACTAGAAAGATGATCGCTATGATACCTTCTGGCCTTAAAGTCTATTTCTAGGCCAGTGAACTACAGTGCAGTAAAAGGTTTCAGAGTAGCAGCCATGTTAGTCTGTATTCACAAAAAGAAAAGGAGTACTTGTGGCACCTTAGAGACTAACATTTATTTGAGCATAAGCTTTCGTGAGCTATAGCTCACTACTTCAGTCAGATGAGTGCATCCGATGAAGTGAGCTGTAGCTCACGAAAGCTTATGCTCAAATAAATTTGTTAGTCTCTAAGGTGCCACAAGTACTCCTTTTCTTAGTGCAGTAAAAGTTAGTTAAATAACTTATCAGAAAGGGTCATCTGTCAGGAAGATTTCCTGACAACAGAGTAGCACACCATAAAACTCCCACCTTCTAAGTACAGTGTATTCAGTCTATATATATACAGCTAGTGTGGGATAAAAAAGGTTGTGAAATTACTCAGATGTGTAGGAGTTTTAAAATGTTAACCACAATAAATACTCTACCTTAAAGGCCATGTGCCAAGTCAGGAGATTTTGTGAACAAAAGGATCCTGTACTTGAATCATTGAATAAAACATGATTTTACTTTCTTTACATTCATTTCTTGAGCAAACACAGCAACGTGACAGAGCTTTGCTTCCAAGGGCAAATACATTATGATTTTCCTTGTTTTCTAACAGCATCTAAATAGACCTAGTCAGTATATGCTTTATTTATTGTAGCATTACTGATGTATACTAAACTAGGAAGTGTAGCATTTAATGTAGTTCTTCAAAGTTCTCTGTATTCCTGGATATGGACTACTTTATTGAAGCAATGTGTCCAGATGCACTGGATGTCGTTAAAGTGTAGTATCATAATATCCTTGAGATCACACCAAATCTAACATGCTATAGAATTAGCATAATTCAATTCAATTAAGCTAAAGGGTTAACCTCCCATGTCTATATCATCAGATGGTTGTATTCCAAGTGCTAGGACATTAGAGTGTGAAATTGGTTTTAAGTGTAAGAGGACACAAAAACAGCCCCTTTCAAATTCATAGAATATCAGGGTTGGAAGGGACCTCAGAAGGTCATCTAGTCCAACCCC